CTGTAGTAAAGTGATTAATATTTTTACTATATTTTACTCCTATTTTACGGTCAAGTGGGAGGCAACTGCACTAAGCATGCGCAAGTTGGCTTGTTTAGCGGGACATCGACCGCGCGTCGTGGCCGGAGCGCAGAATAAGCAATTTGCGCTCAGGCTTGGTTTAGCGTCCCTATACATATGCATATATATATATATATATATATATATATATATATATATATATATGTGTGTGTGTGTGTGTGTGTGTGTGTGTGTGTGTGTGGCAGCTGAATTTTTTTAAGATAAAATAGCGGATGAGGAACAAACTATTGTCATACTAACAAAACTATTAATCTCTGGGCAGATTATAGTTCCTGCTCTAGTTAATGTTACATGGTGCTCCTATTTCCTTGACATGATGCAAAAATGTGTACATGTTGCTGACCCGACATATGTACGATCAAATGAAATTGAACTAAAGAAGATGCATGATTCAAATGTCAAGAAAATTCTTTTAGCAATGACAACAGTTGTGAAAGAGCTTTACTCGGGATGGAAAGTTGACTTTACCACATGGGACACAAATTACTTGAAGCCTATTATTCACGGTGCTAACTAGTACTATTTCTAAAATCATTTCAATGCCTTAAAACATAATAAATTTGTACAATAAATTCTAATGTGAATAAGTTATACATTGAGGACTCAGGTTTGGTGACTATTATTTTCATTCGTGATTTCCATGGAGACAAAATTAATGGAAGCTACACGCAGGTAGTTTTCTAAATAGATAAGGCTTCTGTCATTATACAATTATGGAAAAATGTTGAATCTTACTAATATTCCATTGCATGTTCCTTCTTCTGCAGGAAAGTGTAATGTCCTTCAAGCCTTTGTTGTTGTATGAGCTGTTGTCCATTAAAGGAAACAATGGAACTGTTTCCACTTCGTACATAGAAACAATTGATGATTAGGGGAACAGCAGCAGAGATGAATTGCACAAGTGGAATAAACAGAGACGAAGAAGCCTACAAAATTATTGTATTTCAAATTTCTGCATGAGATTTGTATGTCCTATATTATATTGAAACTGGACGAGATTTATTAGTTCTATAACATCTTAAATCTACCTGAAGAACTATGGAAAATATTTCATATTACTATTTTTCTGAATTTAGTGTATGTATCAATTTTTTCCTACTTGTATGCTTGTTATATTTGAATCATATTTCCTATGCCTTTGCTATTTTGCAATTAAAACAAAACTATTCCCCACTACACAGTTAATTATAAGTAAATAAAACTACTTCAGCTCTTGAACTTATTTTGCTTTGCATAAACTATTAGGTAATGTACAATTTTATTGAAATATCATTAAGTCAAGGTTATAACTTATACAAAAATAAAATGCCATATCTCTAACTTCAGTACATTACCTTTAAGTAACATAAATCATAACAATTTAGTTCAAAATCTTTCATAAGGAATATGACCCTAAAACTCGATTTATGATAAGTGCAAATTGAAAGTGCTATTATATGCTCATTTGACCTTTACAACTATAAACATGGTAAGTGAAAATGAAGTAAATAGGAGTGAAATATTGAAACTACATCATTATGTCACTAATCTTAAATGAAATATAAATTATAATACACAGCTATTAACAATGAAAAATTTAAAGAATCCATCATAATGTATATGATTAAGTGTTTCATTACTCATAATTACATAATCAAAATACTGAAGCAGAATGTATACGAAACCAGTAATGACAAGATAATTCATTATCGTGATTTTTAAATAGATAAAGTAGATGCATAATACAAAATCATCCGACAATGAATTTTAAGTTTCAAAATGAGTTACACGTATGAGATAGACATAACAAATGATTATTTAAATCATTAATTGTTCAATATAAATATTTAATTGCACTAGAGCATACTTACAAATTTGGTAATCACGACAACCTTAATTATGACAAATCGTTCAAACAACAAATCACAACAAAATAGCATTAAGTTTAATATATCTTTGTAATATACCTGACCTTCTATGTTAATTAGCTACATATCGTGCAAAACCTTTGAATAAGTGATGTGAATGTTAATATAGGTTCTAACTAGTAGTTATTTCAAATTAGAGGAACACGTTGCATGAAATAAAATCAATAAAAAATAAAAAACGTCTAAATGGTGAAAATGTGGATTCACATCTTTCTAACACGGGTACCATTAATTTCTAAGATTTGGCTTAGTTCAAAAATATTAACAATGATACAAATTTCAAAGTTTTTCCAAAAAATCAAATATAAAATGAATATCAAATTTAAACAGTACAACCATTCATTTTGAAGTTAATATAAAATTCTATTTTACCATCAAATCTTAATCAATCGTGATAGTCATCCAAGTCAAATTAAGAAGATTATAGGGAAAAACAAATTTATAAGTACTCACATTCAGACGACATAACTTAGTTCAGCCAATCATAGATACAAGTTTCTAATGAGTAGACAATTCATTAGTATAATACTTTGGACCACATAAGGCAAACAAAGAACATTAAGGTAAATAGAGCTGCGGGCAATCTTTGATAGTGTGTGTTGGCGATCGACATTTGCTGCAAAACCTGGACTGGACAACACCCATCACACCACCAGCTTGTTTGCTCTTTGGGTCTGGTTTTTTCCCACGTTTCTTCTTCTTGATGTTTGCTTCCATGCTAGACATGTACCTTTTATTGGAAGGTCTACCATTCCTCTTCATTATAGCAGGTGCAAGAATTGAAGAAACTGGAATAGTAATGTTTTTTGTGGTATCAACTATTTGAACACATGATTCACTAACTTCATTGCCTTCCAGTTGAACACCAGAATGTGTACTTACTTCATCTTCAGGCATTGATCCATATCCTACCTGGCATGTAGTTGTCTTTGAAAGTCTGTGCTCCTGTAATTCCTTCTTGCAACGAGTAAAATTAGACTTTGCAATTGCAAATGCATCTGGATCGATCTCAGCTTCATTAACTATATTTATTGCCGCGAAATATAATAGCTGGTGCCTAAATGATCTCGATTCCTCGTTAGTGTCGCCGATATATTTCTCCAACTTGTTGCTGAAAGTAGATGACCTAGCTTGCTTTGTCCACCGCTTCATTATGTGACAATCTGGAATTTTGCAGACACCTCGGTTCACAAAAATCTGTGGAATATAAATACAACAAAAAAACTTTAGTTGTTCGTTGGTAAAATATCAAAAGTAGTACAAAAACTTAATGGGTATCATACCGCTAGGACGTGGCTACAAAGAACACCAAAATGTTCGTCAAGTCCACATTCACATGTGTAATATCCAATTGACTCATCTACTTTGATTTTGTAAATTACTTTAGACCACAATTCCCTAGACTCGGCCTGGACGTGCTTCACAACAAAAGTATGTTCCTCATGGCTAGGAAGCACAAGGTATGATGTAGACTTAATGAGCTCCTTCTTGAATAGATTATAAACCTTTGGTGTATAGATAACAGAAGCATGCTTCTCCATGGGATATCCAAAATGGACCTTTAATATTTTCTGCATACAATTACAAAAAGACAGATGTCAAAATAATATAACAGAAACTAAATGTAGCAAGGAATACTATGGTAAATGGAAAATAATTAACTGTTAAACATTTTGAACCTGTTTGTTCTTCCTTTCAGCTTCTGCGTCACAACTCTCCCGATCGTCTATCAGTTTAGTGTACTGTGTAATGAATGCATTTATTGAAGAATTACATACAGTATGTATCTTCAGCATCATGTTTGCACATTCACTACGTTGAGTGCTACACATACGTTGAGTGGTACACATTCTAGCACAGAATACTTTACTAAAGTATGATTTGGCCCATTTGTGCCTACACTCGTACGCTCTAGTCATGAAAGGATGCTCCTGTAAACCATACTTTACCGTAACAAAATTCCATGCATCTTCAAACTCCTGTATTGTTAGCATGTGATTTACTAGCTTATGGAAATCATCAGCAAAGGTTTTGTGATTTCTGTAAACAACACCAAGAAGTTCATGAGCCCTCTTCAGAACGTGCCATTTGCACCATCTATGTGTTGCATTAGGAAGCTCTGCCATGACTGCATTTCCAATGGCCCTAGCCTGATCTGAACAAAATTGTGATGGAAAAAATTGTTTAGTACTCTAAATTTGGAAACTAACTATTAAAATAAGTACAGAATTCAAATTGTGATGTTACTAAGACAAGAAACATGATGTAAAGAGCAAGCGATAACCGTCTTGCGAAATAATTGTTTACCTGTAAGAATAGTAACTGGTGGTTTCCCACCCATCATAGCAACAAATTGCTTAAAAGCCCAACGGAAATTCTCTTCCTTCTCATTAGTCAAGAATACTCCAGCGAAGATTACACTCTCAAAGTGGTTACTAACTCCTACAAACATACCAAATGGCATTTTGTAGATGTTTGTTCCATACGTGGTGTCAAAAGTTATTGCACTCTCCAAAGTGATTATATAATGATCTACTCCTTCCAGTAGTCCACATTAGTGACTTTAGCCTATTGTCATCATCCACCTGTGCACAGAAAGCAAATCTATCGTCCATTGCTATCATATCACGGAAGTTCTCTAGTGTTTTAGCTATGTCGTCCTGAAGCGTTTCACTAGCAATCTGTGAACAAACAGTACGTAACTTCCGCTTACAGAATGGAACTTTCTTTGTTGATCCATAAAAACCAGCAACTATAGAATTAACCCTTGTTAGTGATACGTTGTTCTCTCGAAGATTCTTTATTAAGTCTCTGATTGGCTTGTCAATATGTTGATGTGAATGCAGGTGCTTCTTCTCGCTGCAAGATTCCACAAGGGCATGGTTGTGTTCCTCCCGAAAAACTTTGACATACCATTTTGAATTTTCATTGAGATGTAACCTGAGTGTTGCCTTGCAACCACATCTAGTAGTTGCATATTTAGTATTCTTGTCTGAAGCCCTGAAAAGATAATCGTGGAATAAGATTCAATGTCATCAGACATACTAAGACATTGTACATTGATGTGTTTATTTTGTATGATATTACTACATGGTGGTTTGTGAAAAATTTACTTACTGCTCTTTGGCAAGTGAATTCCTGCATTGTCTGTACGCGAGTGCGAATCGTGATATAATTATCACCATTGCGAATACTGAAACCAAGCACCCAAGAATAAGTATTGTAGAAGTCATATGCTTCTGCAATAGATGAAAACTTCATACCAACAACCGGCCTTAACATTTGAACAGAAGTGTCTTCACAAAAACTTCTAATTCCGTGTTCCACAGCTCCAACTGGTCCTCCTCTGTACAAAACAAACAAACATGTTGAGAACAAACTAATATAATAAATTATTTTTGAAATGAAGATAATACAAAGTTTAGTCTTACTCCATGTATCTTTCATTCGAATCTGACTCTTCAGTCTGAACATTGTATGCAGAAAATAGGTAGTGCTCATCTAGATTTTCAGGCCTAGACATCTTATCTGGAAGTTCGAACGGGTCTTTGATACATTGTAGACGTGACTCTACTTCATTTGAGTCATCGACATAATCATAAGTGTCAACCCTGTTTAAAATAATGAATACAAGTTTATCTACATTGAAAATGATTTCTTCACATACTTCCTGCTGTTTACTGAATGTAATTTCTGGAGTTTACCTTAAGTTAGGTCTGGAAAGTACATCATTGTCTTCTGAGCAATAAGGTCTATCAGAATAACATGAACTTTCTTCAGGTACTGAGTTTACAGTGCTCCTACATTATTAGAAAAATTGTTAATACCTAATCACAATCTGGATAATGTATAGAAACATTATTGGAAAACGGATGAGAACTAATTATATTTTCATCTCAAAGATGTGAACTTACTGTTGATTGAAATTTGACATTGGCTGCTCAACCATGTTTAGTAGTTCCATAAAACTGCCTCGCACACTGTCCCTCTCAATTTCCATATTAACCTATAAACTTAAAGTATTTAAGACAGGCGAAACTAAGCTTCCACAGTTGTAACCAAATAAGGAACAGAAATTACGCTATTATAATCATTATAATTACTGTATGCAAAATCGTGAGCAGGGGATTTATTTGGATCGAAACAGAATAGATTCAAGATCAGAAACAAGTAAAATGACAATCCTGTATGAACTGACCTTATTTGCTTCTTTCAGCCGACAATGGATAGATCACCGGATAAGATCTGGTACAAACGCATGCAGTAGTTACTTTGATTCCCGCCTCCAATCACATGGGACTTTGGCTAAGGTTGCTTCATGGCTTCAAATCAGATGCAAATTTGGAGGATAATAATTATAACCTAGTATTTAACAAGATCTACTCCGCTTCCACTCTACTCATGGATTCATATCAGAGAGGAAAACTGCGGCAAGAACTTGAGGAGAAACAATGGCGACGGAGAGAAAGAGAATATGGATGGGGAGGGAAGACGAGACGGAATTGTCGATGAGGACGAGAGCATGATTAAATATCAACCAGGGGTGGGCTCCACTATATTGTATTCTGTACAACTTGTCAGTCTGAACAGTTGTATTACTATTGTATAAAGTTGCCGCTTCGATTACTCACTTATACGCACTCGGGCCGCATAGATCTTGACGAAATCTACCAACGGCGGATGCTGCTTCGGTACATCCCGCCTCCGGTAAAATAACTTATTCGTTAACCCCAAGATGCTCCAACCAGAGTATCTGCAACAGTAGGCGTCACTGTACTGTGTATCGCGCAACAGTATCGGAAGTCGATCAAGGCAATTCGGCAGCGACTCGAGTGACCCAACGGCTGTAGCTGTGGGTATACAGGAGCCTACTTGTGGTAGGGAGTACGTGCGGTTCCGTGGAAGCCTGCGTTTCATCCATCCACAGGGGCCGTCTTCTTCGCTCTCTCCAGGACGAGGAGAAGAAAATGCCAGAGTGTTCCGTAGCGGGAGCGGAGGTCGCCCGTCGTCGTCAGGGCGCGCCGGTACTCTCATCTCGCCTGTGGACGGCGGGAACGCACGACAGACGATGGCGTTGGTCCGTCACCTAGCTTTGCCATAGTACTCCCTCCGTTTCTTTTTAGCTTGCATATAAGATTTATCTAAAATCAAGCCTCATAAAGTTTAACCAACTTAATAAAAAAAATATCAACATTCACAATGTGAAATTAATATAAAGTTTGACCATATTTGCCTTAAGTTTTCATATTATATAACTTTAGCATGATAGATATTGATATTTTTCATACAAATATGATCAAATTTTATGAAGTTTGACTTCAGATAATTCTTATATGCAGAGTAAAAAGGGCCGGAGGAAGTAGTAAAACAAGCGTTTTTTTTCTTTGGTGAATGTAGTACGTACAACAAGTTGTGCCAAACCCTGCCGCGATCCGAACGCACTGACACCGTGTGCTGTGAATGTCGTGAGATCCAGCGCCTCGGCACATGAACAAAACGCTTGGTCAGTTTTTTTTAGGGGAATGGACACGTTCATTTCGCGTGTTGATCTTGGAGGCTCGTCGGCAGGGCCGTACCTAGGAAATTGAGGCCCCGGAGCGAAATCACAATTTAGGCCTTATATATAAGAAAGTCAAGTAGGCAATTAAAACAATGTTTTTATTAGTTACTGCGGTAGTACAGACTTCTCGAGGAATTTCATACTACAAAAGAAAAATCTTAGAATTTTGAGCTACAGTTCCATCTTAATTCGGCAGCCGCCGGCGCGGAGTCCGCGAGTAAATTGCCAGCGATTTAATTCACCAGCTGCCGACGAGTCGTGGTCTCAAGGAATATGTGAATTTGATTCTCCTTCAGTCTTCTCGAATTCTCCATGAGAGATTTGAGTCGGGCTATGAGCCTGTTGGTCCGTTGGGGCTTGGTGGATTAATTGAACGTGCGCTGGGATAGTGGGCTGCACTTTTTTTCTTTTGACAGTTTAACGGTCCAGTCTTTGCTCTTTATTAATCTCTCTATATATACCCCTCAAAAGTATATTAATCTCTATTTATATAGTACTTGCGCAAAAATTTGAGGCCCTGTGTAGTGGCTCCACTTGCACCTGTGCATGTACGGGCCTGCTCGTCGGAGAAGGAGCATGATGATCATACCATATCCGCAGGGTGGAGACAGGTGCAGAGAACAGCGAGGCGAGGGCTGGCATCACGTACTGCGGACATCAACCGTCCCTGCCCTTTTCGACATCGGCGTCAGAGATTCTGAACGGCCCCCATCATCGCCCGTCACGTCTCGCCCGTCACGTCTCGCCCGCTCCAACCAAACGCCCCTTGGGAACGGCGAGCGTGGTCGAACAGACGAGCGGTGGAAATGTGCGCAAGGTATAAGGTTGGACTGTTTTGACCCTTTTCTAAAATCTATTCAAGACTTGATCTTAATTTTTTTTTTAAGATCTGACCTTTTTATTACTGCGAGGGACCATCGCGGTAGGTATAACAGCCTACCGCCAAGGTCCCTAGCGGTAGGATTGCATACCCTACCGTCAAAAAATTCGTAAGTATTGAACACGGTGCGTGCTCGTGCCTACCGTCAAGGACCTTGACGGTAGGGTTGTGCAGGCTACAGCCAGCCCAATTGACGGTAGCGATGTTTCATACTGTTAAAGTCTTTGGCGGTAGGATGTTAGACCCTACCGTTATGGACTCTGTCGGTAGCAAAAGGATCAGATCTCGAATTTTTTTTAAACTAGGGTCAAATCTTCAATAGGTTTCATAAAAGGATCAACACACGAAAAGTTGCCTATTCTGGCTGGCTGAGCTACGGGAAGTCAGTCCGCGCTGCCCATTTGTCAGTCAGACCCGTCGTTAAGGTGTTCAAAAGAAAAGAAAAAACGACCCGTCGTTACGACGGAGCAACATACACATGGACGACCATTTTGTTTTCCATACGTACATCCACTGGCTAGCTAGCACACATGTTGGCCGTCATCGAGCTGCGTAACGTTAGAATTTGGGTTTCTGCGGTTTCAAGTGAGCCTTGGCTCGTAGTCGTACGTAACGTACGTACAAGTGCAAACAAACTCTAGATTGTTCTTAAATGACAATACCGTACGGCAGTATGAATCTGTAAAACAATACTGCAGGTAGAAACCACCGCTGCTTGATGTAAGCAATGGCGCCATTTTAAGATTCGCAAGCCGCCTAGCCGGGACAGTTCACATGAGCTACTCAATCTGCATAGGAGTACATTTTATGATTGAGCGTGGTGCTCGATTCCAACTTGCATGCCGCCGTGCACCGGTAACGCCGTGGCAGTGCATGCTTGGCTCGGCTGAGTGTTCAGACTTCAGAGGGCCGGTACCCACGAGCCCACAACAGTCATCAGATACGCCACACTTGGCTGCACGAAAAAAAAGAGGAAGAGGTGAGTACCGGCAGCAATTCCAACGCTCAACATCACTACACTCTA